TCTTCGATCTCTCCTTCGCATTCACACCGGCATTTGCATCGTGATACAACGCTTGACACATATCTACACTCAAGACTAGCTTGTACGTATCTTACATCCGAATTTTGTCCACCGCCGCGCCGAACATCGGCCGACGACGTAACACCTCGTCTCCATCTTTCGAGGCAATCGCCGCCAGCGCCGCGAATCGAGTCTCATTCCCATACGCGTGTTCACCTGATTCTCTTCCTTCTGTAAACGCGACGGGGCATACCGCTGACTCGAGGAGAATGCTCTCGTCACAATAGCGATTAACGCTACACGACGCGCGACTTACGGACTCGGGCCGAGCGCGATGTGATTTTTTTCCACCCGTGGAAAGGCAAACATCGTGGAGCGCATGACAAACGGCAACTATCGAGTGCCTGTTAGAGATAGTAAGGAGCAATGAAAGGTCCTCCAGTATGCCGGCACAATGAGCGGCCGCGGCCGAGTGGCTCGCACGGGAGGCCCCCGCGCGGCTGTTTAGACAGTGAATGCTTCGTGTGTTATGATTGACGTGTATAAATATTTGGTTAGTCGCCTTGCCGTTTCGTACGTGTGGCGCACGCTGCGTAAATCGTGCGTACAGTTATGCGTGCGCCGCTCTCGTACGCTCGCTCGTTCGCTCGCAGGACACTCTTCTCCTACGCTCCTTGACACGGCAAATTAATGACGACTCGCTCGTTACGCGCTACTCCGTGAGATTTCACAGATGGCCGCGAGTGTTATCCGACGGATCGGAGCGGAATCGGTCGTTGCGAGGGGCACTGCCGTGAGGGCGTCGTAAATTTTTTTAATACACTCCGCGCGAGTCTGGCGAGTGAAGCCGCGATTGAAGTGGAAGAGGTGAGGGATGAGCGACGGTTTCCGTAAAGTATCCCACCGGTGTCCCGTTGCGACACCTGTCCTCGGCCTGTCGCTGGTAACGCGCTTGCGTCGCCGTAGGAACGAGTGGAATGTTAATTGGGTACGAAGATGCTTTCTTTTTGTACATATACATGTATATATATATTCCTTATAGTTTGATTGTCGGCGAAACGTTGACAAATGTCGACGATTTTACATTACGTAGATACATTACGTAGACTCGCGTTGATCGCTTTGGTACTCTCTTCTCCGCCCTTCCGTCTTCCCTTTCGTTCCACTGATATCCTGTTTATCGAGACACACAGGCCGGCCAAAAGAGACTATTAGAAGACAACGCCCCGGCGGCGAGATACACCCACGGCTCATTAAATCAATCGCGCGAAAACCACGCGGCTAGACTCACCTCCTCCTCCTCCTATACGCGTCCGGCCACAATTCGTAATATGTTATTTCCAAATTGTTTTAAATTACATGCTGCACCACCATGCGATAATAGGAGAAGGCGTCCATTCGACAATATCTTCTTGCAAAGTGTCCGCACACAAAGTCTGTTTCTCCCCGGAGCATCGAGCGCGGCGCCGAATCGAAGTGAGTGGCCTATGCTAATATACCGTATACGCAAACATTGCGGTCGTCCTTCTTCTTCTCGCTGCGTTATTCCACCGGAGATTTCGAAGATACGACGAACAAAGCAAGCTGTAATTTCCCCACGCGAATGATCGGAAGATCCTTCTGACCGGATCTTATTAGAATTTACATTAAAGCCGTTCTCCGAGTTCGGAGTGCGAGTTAGGCGTTTGGATTCTTACATGCGTAAACGACTCATTTATCCTTACACAGAGAAAAAGGTCTCTTCAGATTTAGTATTTCTGTTTATCTGACCAAAATTTGTTTCACAGAAGCAACATATACGAAATTTGTTTGAGTAAAAAGTTTTCTCGTCTCATTCAAAAAAACTCTATTATTTAACAGAAAGAACGTTGTTATTCGAAATAATATCTTTCAACCAAATCAAGTATCATTTGGTTACAAGAAATATATGGAATGAAACAAATAATTATATAATAATTTCCTCACAAGAAAATTATCTTTCGTTTCAAACAAATTTCCTATTTAAGATAAATATGCATATTCGTCGAAAACGTCTAACAATCATCGTACTTATTAATCGAAACATTAGTTTCTTCGGAGCATGCCAATGATGAAATTTATTTGCACTGCAATAAAATCGATTAAATTCGAAGAAATCTTGCTCCCAGTGTAATAAGATCCCGAGTTTACGAGCTCATTATTAAACACATTAGGGACCGATGCGTAGCGCTGTGAGGCCGCGCGGACGACAGCGTTACGCTTCGTTTCGGGTTGGTCTGTCGCCAACCGTCGGTTTTAGCTCTTCTCGCGTATTACCAGCGAGGCATGAAATTCTCTCCTACTGTGCAGCATCGCTGACCACTAACAGCGCATGCGCGCACGTGGGTGATTCAGTGAAAGACACTGGTCGCGGCGCGGCTTTGAAATCGATACACAAACCACGATCGATGGCCCTACTGGAAATCGGATACCGAGTCGATACCTGAGCGTGTCGGCTGAACAAACGTCGAGAATCATTTTTACAGCCGCGGTCATTGCGACTCGACGATTCGGGATAACTTCGCCGTTAGCGTAATCTCGCTGTCGCGAGATTTATCACCGCTGAAATATCCCCACGTACATTTCACGCGCCGGCTGTTTCGGTCCGTATACAACCGACAATTTCGCGCGACGACTCCAAGACCCCTCACTTCTCACGTTCGTGCACAGGTGTGATAAATAATGGTGTAATATCACGAACGACGTACTTTCGAGTTTAAACGCTTTTAAGGTTCCACTACTCGACGACGCGCCAACGGCGACGCAATATTAATCGGACGGGAAAAATGCGCTCGCCAAAAATGCCGATCCGGTGTCTTCATCGCGCGGCAGCATCCGGCATTCGCGCAAATCGGCGGCCTCGTCGCCGACGCGCCTCCGTTCGCGCTCACGTAGCGGCATGGAGGTTGCATCCCGTTTAACGCAGCGTTAAGAGGATTATTTATTGGAGGCACCTCGGCGCCGGTGTAGGACGATTAGCATAGTAATGCCCGCAGCGCGGCTGGCCCGCCGTGCGCGTCTATCTGCGCGTGTGCGTGCGCTGCTAATCTGCCATTATTAAATTATCGGTGCAGCGCGCGGCACCGCTGCACCGATGATTATCATTTATCAATATCACGAGCGTACTACGTCGCGATCGTCGTCGTCCAGATCGGGCGTATCCGTACGTCGGCACGTAATGTTATGTAGATAACGTTGGTATGCGCGACGTCGATCGGTGATAGGGATGTTGCTCCCCCCTCCCCCCTCTCTCTCTCTCTCTTTCCTGCCATCAAGTGCCTGCCAATGCCGCTTTTGCGTCGGAATTACCGTCCGACCCCGAATGGGATCCCCGTGTCTCACGAATTAATCATTAATCCCGAAAAATTCCACTTCATCATGACGATCTCAATTTTTGTATTACCACACGGGGAAAAGTAATTGGTTAAATTAAGTAATTAAATTGAGAACGAGCCGAATGCGTCTTGGTCAAAGATGTCTGGTTTTTATGAACCCAATTTCATTCTTAGAGCGAAAAATGCCTTTTTTCTTCTACAGAAACTCGTTCAGTTCGTTCGATCGTCACGTTAACCCGCAAGTAGACACGTGACTTTTTTGAGGAATAAAACACCGTGTATAAACATGCTGTTTATACACGGAAAAAAGATTAGCCGGAGGTAACTGAATTAGTTATAACATGCGGACACCTGAAATTTTAGCAGCGTAAGTAATTTTAAGTCAGCCGTGACATTAAACTCTTTTGCTGCAGCGGCAAACGTACTATGTCATTCACGATAATACCAACCAATAATACCAGCCAATCTCTCTTCTCCGCGCATTGTTTCCAAACCTATCACTTCGATAGTCAGTCGATAGAGCGTATCCGTTTCGTGTAATTCTTTTAGCCAGCAGCAACGCGTTTTCACTCAAGATTATACGTTTTCTACCGCGAGTCCGCGTCATACCCGGCACGGTGGCGTTTCGAGTGGCACTTCGGGTATTACCACAGAAAGATTCCGTCGCGTCTCTCACCCGCGTCTCACCGCGAGTCTCTACGCGTCTAAACAGCGAGGATGATCGCCGAAAGTCAGTCGTGGGAAAACGCGACAAAGACGTCCAACCGCGATGTGCCGCGGGACGAAAGAAATGGAAGAGGAACGGACTAAGGACGACCCGCGCTGTAATCTCGAAAGTTTATCGACGTGACGTGGGGACCGGGAGGAAAACGTGAAATCTATGGCTCTATCGACGGCCCGTGCTTGTACGCCTGCATGTGCTATCTCGATAATATGCTAATAACGCGACGGGGGGTACTTTACGATCGTTACATCGTGCTGGATATCGTAATTATTGTTTCGCCGCTTGCGCTCGTACACGGCACAATGCGACGCCGTGAATGCGCGCATGCATCACCGATCGTTGCATCGATCGTAAGCTGGCTCGTGCGTACCGTAATTGCGAGTATCCTTAAGCACTTTGCCACGCAACGAGCATACGTCGTAGGGATATATCAACGGATATCTCGCTACCGTTAACGCATTAAACACCGAGGGACTTCAAATTAATGCCGCAATTGAATTTCCAATCTCGCGAGTTGATTATCATGCAATTTCTGATTTCACAAGTTGCAGTTTCCTAATCTTCGCAAAGTCTCAACTCGAAATCCCGTGTACCGGTAATATATTCTAAAGACGAGTGCAGATTTTCAGCAAATGCCTTCGAGTGATCTTCTTCAAACGATATTGCATCAGCGCGACTTATGCGACTCCCTGAATACACTTGATTCTCTGTATTGTAAACTAACGAGACGTGTCAATATATTTAGTATAGGTCGCCTGTGATCTGCATAGCATTTAACTTGTCAATATACGTGAGAGCAAATCGCGCTCGAGACGCTCGTTCCCATTCGCTTCGATAGGAAGGGAACTCGGAGAGACAGATGAAATATATCGCGCGTGAATTCGAGCGCGAGTCGCGCAACTCGACTTAGAATTAGGACTTACCGCGACGAGGGTGCTGAGAACTTCAATTCGCATAGTAGCTGGCCAGGCCAGCAAGGAGGCCGTCGTGATTTGGTGGATCGATCCGCTTATATCGATCCCTTCGGTTACCGATTTCCTCGGCTGTCGACGTCACTCGACCTTAAACGCACCTGGCCGATAATGGCTCTTCTCTCCCGGCTCCACGCCGATTTCTCGTGATCCGCCGTGCCGAACCGGCGATGACATGGCTACCGCGCCGATCTGTCGACAAGCGTCACATATATTACTGGAGCGTTATTACTTTCGCCGCGAAACGCGACGTAATAATCGTCGAATCATCGCCTCGTCCGAACTGTTATCGGCGATCGACCGATTATTTTCACCTCGCGATTGTATCATGCACTATCGGCACGCACATTTGTCGCACTCTCGATCACGGCGATTGATTCGATCGCTCGTTTCTGAATTGTTCAGATAGATTTCGATAGGTTTCGCCGTTGTTTAGAGACACATGCGGCTACCTTTGTCTAATGAGATAAAAAATCGTCGTCATTACGTCCAATTATTCTCGGCCTCAATTATACTCTTTTTATGGTTTTAACTGCACGAAGAAAATATTGTGAAAATCACCAGAAAATCTTGTAACGCTGGACCATACCGGAATTATGAAATTATGTTGTGTTGTAACCTTTAGCGGTGTGTACAATGAAGTGCGTCACTAAAGGTTACGTCACAGTTTCAGTTATAATTCCGATACGGTTCAACATTACAAAATTTTACGGTAATATTTACTATAATATTTTCCCCGCGTACGAAAATGGCAGCAATATGCGCGCAATGTTCTCACCACTAACACTGTCAACAACACCCACTAGAAAAATAATTCTCCTGACTACAATTCTTTTGCTATGACAATTATAGTTACAAATACCAGGTATTTTTCTCTCAGTACGAACCAAAGACCTTAGCTGCGTTCGGTATTGAGCGAAGCGACTCGCGAAAACGCATCAACTGCGAATACCGGACACGCGCGATACTTTAATCGTTCGCCGGCCTATTTTTCTTATTACGATTTCGATCTATCGTGCATTCTCACCTTTCACGCAGTTCCCCGCGCGCGTGCGAATTTATGCACTAAAGCAGCTCGTCACGCCAAACCAGTTCCGAGCGGACGATTAACATCCGATCCTAAAGTCGCGAAGTCCTTGTATAATCCGCTCCTCCGGGGCGCTCGATTCCTCGATAAATCATCGGTCTCCGCAAAAATCGCGAGCCGCAACTGACAGCGAATCGCTCGGAAATACGACGACGCGCTCGCCACGACACTTCGTGACTGACTGGATCCGATATTTAACATTTGCCGATAAAAGCAACGCGAGAGCGAAATGTTTCGCGTAAAGGAGCTACGAGTATAAGATGTTTCGTCATTCGAACCCGACGATGCTGCGAATCGATAACTTATCTCGTGCACGTTCGCCGCGACGATTACGTGTTCCTGTCTACGACGTGTTATTGACCTACCGGATGAAGCGCGCTCGAGGCAAATATCACCTGCGCGAGAGAAGCTACCTTTTCTTTCCCTTGGTCTTCCCCCTTTGTACGACTGTTTGTCGTGCCTCGCTCTCGTCTTGTCTTACCGCGCGCTTGGACTGCTCGCCGAACTGTCACGCCGCTGATCAAATTAACGCGCGATTAACCGCGTAGCGAGAGTCCTCATCGCCTAAATCATTGTCCGATTGCTGCCGAGTCGTCGCGGGGACCGCGACTGTCCATAAACGCGAGGCGCCATGCGCAGCAGCATGGCGGTATCAACATCGCGGCGCTCCTGGCATCATTCGTTATGTGAGTTAATGACTCCCGAGAAATCATCGATTGGTCCCCGTCTGGAAGTCGCGACGCCTCTCACACGGTGGAAACACGCCTTCTCACGCACCGTAATGGACGGGACTTCACGCGTGCGCGCGCGCGCGCGCTCGCCGAGCGAGCGAAACACGGCTGCATCGATAGCCGGCGACGAGAGCAGCGAGGGAAAGCCGATCGTGGGGCTCTCGACGGGTCGTCCCGAGATCAGGCAAGGTGACTCGGCTAGAAACGCGCCCCGTCTCGCCGTGCAACTCGTGTTTCTTCGCGAATTCATTCCAAGCTCGAAATGCCGAAGGTCGGGGCTGCGCGTCTCCGAGACGGGCCCGACGACCTGATGACGTTACGGTGTTCCACAGCGAAGAGCGATCGATGCGACCGGCGTTGTCATGAATCACCGGCGTCCTCCTTCCGTCGGCTGATCATCGGAATACCGGCGCCCGCCGGTGCTCGATCGCTTTCAGTAGGCAGCCCACGGATCGATGGAAACGGTAATCATAAGCGGATTAGGGTTATAATTTCGGATTATCGCCGCGACGTGAGGACGTAATACTGCGCGTGGTGGTAAGTGTCACCGTGGTTGAGTCACGTGGAATCCCATCGTCGATAAGCGGCTCGCCAGGCCGCTGCTCGGCGAAACCGCGTCCTGTGTTCCTTATCATGGTGCTTTTCACATGCGATAATCGGAGGTGACGCCGACAATATCCTATGTCGTCATCGAATCGCGCATTATCGCGGTCTATCTGTATCGGTGATACGTGGAATTCGGGTCGACCCGCATTCCGGCGCGTCGCAATCTGCGCGTACCTGCGCGCGTGTACGCACCGGCGCACGTGCGGTCGGCCGAACCCGCAGTCGACGATAACCGAACGGATTTAGCCGCTATTGCGCGCGCGCTACCGCGACTATTGCACTATCGCCGACGAGAAACGCACCGCGCGAGCTCGTAGATTTACGACCGATCGCTGTCACCGGAACGCTATCGCCAGATACGCTTCGGTTGACCGGGCGTGGACACTTTATGCGCAGATTAGGACAGCATTTTCGAAGCTGTGACTTGGGCGCGCCAGAGAGAGAGAGAGAGAGACGGTTCGTTAAATCCGTTATTAAAATCCTATCGGATCGCTGATGGATAATAATTTAGCGGCGAGAATAGGCGGTATAATTAAAAAGGCTGCAACATCACCAAGCGCCACCGACCATCGAAATACCACGCGATCCTCGAGGAGAACAGCCGAAACTTTCCCCTGAAGTATAATCTTATAATTGTCCGAGTCCAGATAAATCTTCGACCAGTCACGTCACGCAAACCCACCGTAATACTCGTCCCGTGGTAATGCCGATAATCGCATTGCCGGGACAATTCGTTCGATTGATCTCTAAGAGGGAGCCGCTGGGATAACTCAGGATGATCAGTGCCACGCGACGAACGAGAACAGTGGCCGGTAGAAACAGGAAGTGAATTTTTCATAGAAAGCGTGACCGATCCGACCATCGCGTTGTCCACCCACGTGAGGGGACACAGCGACAACTTTCTCTTCCCTCGCGCTCACCCTTTCCTTTATTTCGTTCGTTCGTTCGCGGGCACGCGCGTTCGTCGTACGGATCGTGTGCCCGAGTCGAAATTTTCATGCTATTCTGACGCTCTTAAGAACAGTTTGCGGCTTATAGACTAATAAAAATCTACTCTGACGATATCGATACTTTTCAACTTCTCCTTGGAACCTTTAGTTCCACAGATTGAATTTTAACGCTACCCTTCATCGTCCTGTTTTAACGCTAAAACAGCGAAAACGGAAATTTAAGACATCATCGGGGTCAAAGTAGGGGTTGTTACATTATTAGAATTGAAATTGAGCTTATTTTACTACCTTAGTCCCTTCTATGTTGTAGAATTGAAGATTTAACGTAGGGCCGAAATTTCGACTCGGGTGTAGTTTCGACCGGTCAAGTAAGTAAACCCCGCCGTGCCGGATTACAATGCGCGATCCTCGTCGGTCGATTCCCGCCGAGGAGGACGACGGCGACGACGCCCCGTGCGTATCCCGATGCCGCAGATAAGCAGTCAATCGGCCTGCTCGCGGAGCGTACGAACGAGAGGAAGGCTTGTAGTTTAATTACGGCATCGTTTACGAGTAATGAACGAGACGCAGTCTCGCCCGGTGACTTGCGATCCCGGTAATTTCGCCTGCATGAGTGTTCCCGATGATTTATTGCTCGTTATCCGCGCGGGACTACCGCGGTGTAAGCCGTTGTTAAAGCATTACATACCACCGAGCGGAACGAATCGCGATATTGTACCCTTAGTCGATAGTTAAACACGAGTAAACCCGTATAATGGGTGCAGATGCTTCCTCCTTTTTTTTTTTTACTCTCCGATCCCCGATCGATTACGAAAGCGATAAGCGATACGGCGCCGGTAATGACGTAATCCTATATAGAATCGTTCACGGCACGATTCTATATAGGATGACGCTACCTGTGGAATCCGACCGACGCGATAAGCGCGAGACATAACTCGCTTTTTTTTCTTTTCACGAAGTGACTGCAACGTCGGGAATTTCGCGCGGACGGACGCGCGCGCGCGTGACGTGACGCGCCGTCGGAACTTCGTATCGCTAAATCGCCGCCGTAACATCGATAAGTACATAGAAGTACATTGGAAGCTCATTGGCATTTCGCAGAGGCGGTGCCGACGCGATTTACGTTGAGTCACTTATCGGCGGCGCCTACATCGCGATAAAAACATAACCGGCGTCAAGAATGCGTTGAGTCTGGTCCGAGCCGCTAAGCCGGCGCCTTCGATCTCGCGCGCCTGTCATTAGTTTATTACCATTAACTTTCGCGGTGTAATTACTACGTCGAGCCCTTGGCTGCTGCAAGAACGAGAATGCCGATTGGCGAGCGGCCGATCGGCGCGAACCGACTCGATAAAAAATCACTCGCATTTTCGATCATACGGCCGACACGGCTGTATATTTTCCAGCTCGCGATCGACCCAAAATACCCGAGCGGCTCGAAAAACGCCCAAAGTTCGAATTTTTCTGCTGCATTTTTGGCTGCATTATTGACTTTACGAAGATATCCTTTCGAGGGATGATTCTCTATACTTTTATTTACATATTATATAAAGCCCATTACGAAAGAAAAACTAATTTTTGACGCTGTTATTACTGCTTCCGTGAAGCTTATGACGAGATTTACGAAAGCAGTAATAACGGGGTTACATATCAACTTTTTATAAGTTTTTCGTAATAGGCTTCGTGTAGTATGTAAATAAAAGTACGAGGAATCATCTCTCAGAATCGCTTTCATAAAGTCAATAATGTGGTAATGGTAAGCGGCAGAGAAATTCAAACACTGGACGTTTCTCGAGCCGCTTGGGTGCACGTAGCCCTTTA